CATTCACAGTCAAAGTTGAAGATGTTCCTGAGACAGCACAAGAGGAGTTCATTGAACTTATTAACAACAATGCAGTGAGAACTGATTTCTCTACAATGCCAGTTACAAAATTCTGGACCAAGTGTTTGCAGTCATATCCTGTTCTGTCTATGACTGTGTGCGCCTTCTTCTTCCATTTCCAACAACATATGTTTGTGAAACAGGGTTTTCCAGCTTGTTGGTTATCAAGTCTAAATACAGAAGTAGACTTGTTGTGGAAGATGATCTTCGTTGTGCTCTTGCAAAGACTGTCCCGAGAATTTCTGATCTGGTGAGAAAGAAGCAATCTCAACCTTCGCACTGACGTTGGCTTTTTACGCATACTGTTGCAAAATGTAGCAATGTAGTTTACTGTTGTTATATTAAGACTGTTACCCATGCTACACCATGCTTCAAGACAAAATTTCATTTATTTGTAATTAGAAATAAATATTTCACAATATATAATTACATATTGTTTTTGTGATTAATCTCTATGCTTTAATTATGTTCAATTTGTAACACTGAAAATACATCCTGCATATCAGATTCATAACAGTAGCAAAATTACAGTTATGAAGTAGCAATGAAAATAATTTTATAGTTGGGGGTCACCACAACATGAGGAACTGTATTAAAGGGTTGTGGCATTAGGAAGGTTGAGAGCCACTGGTCTAAGGGAAAAGAAGTCAGTGCACCTGACTAAAGAGTCAGGTATTTCATGGTTTTAAAATTCTTGTGACACATCGGTTGAAAAATCGCTGGTCTATAGTTAGGTCAACTTTCTAAGGATCCGGGTTTTATCCTTAGAAATGACCACCTCTGGTCTTCCTAGGAAAGGAGGCACTTTCCTTACTAGATTCCAAGCATTGGATCCTCCTGGGTTTAAGTATATTCTTTCTGTCGCCACCCTTTCTGGAAGGCCTCCATTTAATAAGGAGGTGATGGTGGAGGAGGCTGAGAGTTACTAATTCATTAATTACTTAAGTCATAATACTCTTTCCCACTCCTAAGTCCTGTTTAATTAGGAAAATAGGAAACAAGTTCTCATTTTATACATCTGTTACTATCTGAACTTATCAAATGCTGACCTCTGTGATTAGGCTCTTAAAGATTGTCTAATTATGCCTGGGGCTCCAGGTATGAGTTTTGCTAATATATCTGTCATCACATTTCAAATGATTAGAATTGTCAAAAAGATACCAACATACCAAGAATTACCAATAATGTATTGAAACTGATATAAAAAATATATTAAGATACTAAATAATGCTTTTATTCATATTATAATGGGTCTTGTTTAGTTCTGTGGTGTGTTCTCTCTCTATTTCTGTAATTTCTTAATTAGCTAAGCTACATACTTACCCCTCTCCCCACTTAGATTTTTTAAAATTGTACATTAAATCCAGATGTATAGGAGGATCCGATAAATGCCCGGGATGCAGGACTCTTATGCAGACAATTGAGAGAGAATACTGCTCAGACAGACCATGAAGGGCCTTTTTTAAGCTTTCCTCTTCCATCTCATACTGTTCCTTTTTTTCTAGAATGTCTTGGAGATAAGGAGATGCCATTGAAGAACATTACACAGGGGGTGACATAGGATTTATGTTGTAAAGACATCACTCTGGCAGGCCTGGAGAAGATGAATTGAAATGGAATGAAATAGAAGAGGGAGAGACCAGTTAGGAGGCCATTACTATGCTGGGCAAGACACCATGGGCAGAGGCAGAGGCAGTGGCAGTTGGTATAGATGGGCAGAGAGAGATCAAAGCAAGATTAAGGTACAGAATCTATAAGACTGAAGTGGCTGATTAGATGTGAAGGCAAAGAAGAGTTAGAAGTTAAGTGCACATTGATTCTTGCAGCTCTGTGATAAAATATTACAGTCCCCAAAAGGCATTGAGTTTAAGTATCTTTTTTTTTTTTGTCCCAGGAAGGAAAATGTACCTATAAAAGAAGAACAGTTACTCTAGAATTTGATCAGATTGCAGGCCTTTTTTATCCTTAGGAATGAAAAGTGAGCGTTTCGATCATTCTGTTCCTTTTTTCAGAACCTAACCTATGTTGTTCTACAATCAATATTTTTTCCTAACCCAAGTATTGGTTCACAGATCTTATATATAGTAAAGCTGTTTTATTTTTCCCATCTCTCATAAGAATTGTACTGATGATGTTTAGTGCTAATTGTATGCAATTTAATTTTCAGATTGTAGTAATCATTATTGCTGTTTTTATTTTCATTCTTCCCCAGGCTTAGTCAGCTGTAGATATTCAACAAAATTATGCCCTTTGGGATGATTTTCAATATTCTCACTTTGGGAGGCATATTTTTGTCAGTCATGAAGGGTTAGGATTTGGATTATTAAACACTTGAACCCCAAGTTTCCACATTGGACCATTTAACATTTTTACATTTTCTTGCAAATGGAAAACTTAGTCCATATGTGTGCTATTTGGGCACCTTTGAAGACCTCATCTAATTCAGGCGGTGTGTGCCTGTCCTCCAAACCTACGTTCTATCTCTTGATGTACAAAAAGGCCTGCCATGCAGGAAATACAGGAGAAGTAGCTTCAGCTTTCATGGGCGCACTCTTGGGCCTTGCCTCAGCTCTGCTCCTGGAGAACCATGTACAGAAGGGCTTGGCTTTTCCTAACCACAAGAAGTATTTCAACATGTCTGGGAGTATGTGACCGAAGCAGTGTGTTTTCTTGAAAGTGTTGCTGTCACTACTTGGGCCCCTGGAGGGTCAGGGCTTGTTGATGTAATGAGTTTTCTTCATCTCTAATAGCTATTATTCTGTGAAGTGTAGAAATTGGCTGTTAACAGAGTGAATTGATGCTCTTCTTTGTTTTAACTCTCCAGAAATGCATCTTCTGCAGATACCGGGTTAAGAAGGTCTCTGGAGCCTGCATCCAGTGTTCCTACGGCCGCTGCCCGGCCTCCTTCCATGTCACATGTGCTCATGCCGCAGGGGTGCTGATGGAGCCTGATGATTGGCCATATGTGGTGAACATCACATGCTTTCGACATAAGGCCAACCCAAATATGGTAAGGCCTGCTCTCCCTTCCCAGGTGCCAAGACTGTGTATGAATTCCCTCCTAGGCCAGCATGTTCTACTTTGTAATGTTATTCATTGTTGACATGTCTAGACTTGAGGTGTGGGTTTCTGGAGGGCAGGGATTGTACAATATTATTTACTCATATTTGCCCAGGACCAGTCAGTGTCTGGTGCATGTTACACACATACATATTTATTGAGTTGAATGAGTGAATGAACGAATGAATGAACAGGTGAAACTCACTATGCTTGTTCTGGTTTTGGATTTGTGTACAGGGCTGCTGAATGTTATGCAGGTTGTGCACTGCAGTATTCAGGGTGAGGGTGAGACCATTTCTGGGACGGAGTGATGTGAGAGCCCTTATTCCACCTTAGATTATGTGGTGCTTAATCTACACAACTGTACACTCTGGCCTTCGGGGTTTATTTCATCTCTTCTAGAAGAAACAAAGAGAGCAACACAGTACAGCGAGAGGGGTGGTCATGCACATTGGGGGCCTCGCTGCCTGAGATGGGATAAACTAAGCGAAGCATGAGGCCCTGGGAGGGGTGATGGCAGTCTCAGTAAAGCGGAAATGTTGAAGAGAAGTTTAGAGATCGATTTCTTCTGCCTTGACCATCTCACTCAGGACAGTACCTATTTCTGGGGAAAGAGTGTTTGCAACCAATAGCGTGTGAATTTAACTATAGTTCAGTTTACCTGTCCTGAGTGAGTGGAGTCTTTCCTCTGTTTTAAATGCTTAGAAATGTTAGGACAATGTAGAGAGAGTTGCTGTGTTCCTGTTATCTTTCCAGTTCACCGTAATTGTTTTCAGTTGCCAGTGAGGAGGCTAAAGCATTGTATCAAAGCTCAGCTTCACTAATTTGCTGCCCTTTGTTACTCCTGGGAGGCTTGGCCACAGACTAGTTGCAGCCTAATGTGCTTGTCCTATGTCTCTAGTAACCTCCTGTGAGCAGCCTGCCAAGTCATCAGCATGGGCTTGGGGAGCCATGACCCACACAAGTCTCCCAATTTTTTTTTTTTTTAACAATTCCAGCAACTTCCATGGGTGTCTTGAGAGATTCTTAATGTCTGTGGGTTGGGACTTACTCTGTGGGGTTGTTCCAGTGTTACCATATTGCATCGCTCTGGTGCTTTGCTATTTACAATGTCCAGTTAGTAGCATTACCTCATTAGATGTCATGGGGGGATGCATCTTGAGATGTAAATGAGGTCATGACTCTGGAGTCAGAGCAGTTGATGTTCACACCTCGATCCTGCCAGTGGGAACACACGTGCACCTTATGCAGGTTTCTGTCTGCTCCTGAGTTTCCTCCCATACAAACAATGGCTGCGTACCTCCCCATGTGCTTTTAGACCACAGCACAGAGTAAGCCCTCAGAAAATGGGAGTGGCATCACTGCTTTCTCTTTTTACGACGACCACTACTACTGCTGGTTTCGGTGCTATAGTCCTGTGGGAACTGGGATAAGAAACCTAAATTCAGAGAAGCTCAGTTCCTTGCCCAAATAGATTCAGTTAATGAGCGGCAGGTGCTGGTATGTGAATGCATTCCAAACCTCAAACCTCGAATGGTGGGATCATACATTGCCATTTTAATATTCCAAAGTTCTGTGGTTACTGATGATTATATTGCCGTTGCTATTAAAGAGATCCAGGTGTTTAATCAGGACCTTGTTCCTCTGAAGCGTGATGTGTGTGGTTCAGTCAGTTTGTGTTACTAATGTTCCATAAATGATGATGAAAAAGAAAATATTTAATTTTGAGGTGATTTAAAAACTACTCTCTATTCTTCCCTTTGAGCATGGTATGCTTTGTAAGGGCAGGGAAAACATCACATAATTTGTAACATCACATGTGGCAATTTTTTCTTATGAGGGAAGAATTTTAATGTTTGTAAATTGCCTTTGCAAAGTTCTCTAGTGGGAAGCACGATGAGCACAGGATTTCTGAAAATATATTCCCGTTAGCTCTTATTTACTCAGTATTCTTCAGTTAGATTCCAAGTATGGAGTCCTCCCCTAAATGTGTGACAGCAACTCCAGGGAGGAGCATTGTGATTGCCCCTGTTGCATTCAACGTTCTTTCCTTTTCAAGCATAAAGAAGTCCAAATTTACTCACGTGTTTCTCCTTGTGTAAACTGTGAATGCTAGGGCATATGCTCCCAAGAGTCAGAACTATGGTTTGTCTATGTCCTCAGCCATTGCTCTTTGGGAGTAATGAGCAATTGCTGAATCATAGCAGTGAGTACTATTAACATCAAGCTGACTTGGCACCCTAACCCTGTCTTTTTCCAGAATAGAGGATGCTTGTACAATTTGGGTGAAATGAAGTATAAAGCTATAGTTACTTCAATAGGACCTCCATTTTTACTCATTTGGGAGTTTTTGCCCCCACCCCCTTTTTTTGTTTCTTCCAGTTATTTGCATTTTGCATCAAAAAGACCATCTTAAGGCAAATTATAGTTTTCCTTTAATACCATAAATTATTTTATTTTTTAATATATTTTTAATGGACTTCAGAGAAGAAGGGAGAGGGAGAGATAGAAACATCAATGATGAGAGAAAATCATTGATTGGCTGCCTCCTGCACTCCCCCTACTGGGGATCGAGCCCACAACCCAGGCATGTGCCCTTGACCGGAATCGAACCTGGGGCCCTTCAGTCTGCAGGCCGACGCTCTATCCACTGAGCAAAACCAGCTAGGGCACAAATTATTTTAAATATACTGGCTTATTCAATGTTATTGAGCTTTGGGTGTAAAAGATAATGGTGCATAATGTTATAAAAAATGCATGTACTCTTTCATTAAACAGTAAGCACATTCTGTAATTTTAAAAAAATACTATTTGAAAAAATAGGTAGTTTTCATATTCTTAAAGGTAGAAAGAAGTATGTAACGAAAGTTCACAGATAATCATTTTCATTTTAATCATCACAGGTCCACCATAGGGGTGCACATGTGCAGGAGAGTGGTAGGTCTCTCTTGACACAGAGCAGAAGAGATGAGAAGAAGCAGGAAAGCTAGTGGGGAGGTGATGGCCTGTTGCAGGTGATAGGAGAAGGGGAACTGGATTTCCAAGTGGCCATGTCAGGGGTGAGGAGAAGCACCTTAGTTCTAGAGACCTGTTGGAGGTAGCCTCACAGGCCTTAGTAACTAATCAGGTGTGGGAGGGGGAAGGGAAGTCTCCAAGAGACAACCAGATAATGAGAACTAATCACTTGTGAGAGTTTTATCTGCTTTCAGTGTGGCCTTCTAATGCCAGTGAGCTTGCCGTGGCTTCAAAGGGTTGACCCATCCAGTGCAGCTATGGGATGATTCCATCCTTTCTTTCCCTTTTTATTTTACCTCCTTTAGTTTGGAGCTCAATCCCATAGCTTGAATATGTCCCCTTTTAGTTTCTCTTCCATACTTTTTAGAAAGAGAACCAGAATTTAGCTCGCAGTCATCTAACAATGATAAGAATGGTGCCATTTCCACAAACTCTCTTCCCATCTCCAGATCTCGGCTTCTTTGTGTTTAGCTGGCAGTGGAATTGTTTTGGTGGTGGTTACTTTTCCTATAATGATTTAGATTTTGCTAACTTCCATTCTGTTTAGTAAAACTGATATGACCAACTATTCTCTGATCAGACTTGTGTATATTGATCTGCTATTTGTATATGGGTTGTTTCTTCTACATGAGTTATTTTCCAGATACCCTGCTGAATTTGTACTGATATTGAAAAACAGAGAGAATTCTGATCAAAGCAAAGTCTGGGGTAAAAAATTCTTAGCAAGGATTAAGAAAAAAATATTATAGTGACTCAGGCCTGAATCTGATCAATCTTCTTAAATTAAACATACATTTTAAAAAGAGAAGAAATCCTTCACCTTGTTATCAATAGAAGTGGTTTGTTGAGATCTCAATCCATTTGTGCCAGATGATAAAAGTTAAGGCCTGGCTTGCCTGGGAGGAAAATTTTTAGCACAGGCATTTTTTAATATTTACATCTGGAAACAGTCTTTTCCTTGCTCACTTTATCAGGTAAAGAATCAGGTAAAATTAGTGAAGATAGTGTTTTTCTAAATTTTATTGAGATAATTAAGTGCATCCCATTTTAAACTTCTGCACTCTATTTAATATGCCTTGTTTTCCTTTTTTACTTCCCCTCCTGTAGTGTTTTCCACAGGCGGGCTGGGTCAGGAAGCCTAGAGCCTTTCTCCCCGGCTTCCTGTCAGTAGAACAGGCTTGAGTGGATCCGCAGCACATCCCCGTGCACTGGGCTCAGTTCCCGTTGGGGCCCATTGTTCTTGCCCTTTTAGTCAGTGCAGTTAGAGAGAGCCAGGGAGTCTCACTGTGGGCCATCCTGCCTTCTGTGGGGCCTTGGCTGTTCAGTCACAGGCCTGGCTGTGGGGGACGCAGGAGAAGGTCCAGGACACTGTCCCCAGAAGGTCCTCACAGTAACCTCACAGCCGGGGCCAGAGGCTCTTCGACCTCCTTTGAGCAATCTTCAGCCACGCCTTCCATCCTTCCCCCTTTTCCAGATTCCTTTCAAAGCCTAGTGTCTTGGTAAGGGTTTTTGTGCCAGTCCCCATCTGGGCACCAGCTGCAGCGGTCCAGGCCCATTTCTGATGCTACAGTGTTTCAAGGGGTGTTGAATTTGTGGCAAGAGAAAACAGATGCCTCCATTGCAGATTCCAATGTTAATCAGCCAAGGATACAGAAACTGATCAGAACGTGGAGACCCCGCAGGCAGAGCAGAGGCGGAGTGCTGGGTGGCCCGGGGTTGGCTGCTACGGGATCTGAGTGGAAGCTGTCTGTGCTTTGCTACCATACTCTTGCTCTATATTAGGGGTTTACACCTTCATTCTGGAAAAATTTACTCTTAACCATCTAGGCCTTACCATTTAAGGAAAGTTTTGCAAGTAGTTGACTCTTGCATCAGACACAGGCCAAGGCCACATACCTATTTGGGAGCAGAAAGCAGTCAGTTCCCAGGTGACTC